TGGGCTGTGTTGGTTCAAGTCCTCCAACAGCCGTTTGTATAGGATTGGGATGGGGTTGGGATGGGGTGTGGCGTGGTGTGTGTATCACGTGCACGTTGAGGGCTGGCCTAGGTCTGTGTCTAGTTTAGGGCTCTTCTCGGATGATGTTGCCTCTCTTGGTGTTCCTGCAGTTGGGTCACTTGGCTATAGAGCTGGGGTGGGGGTGGGGGAATTCATTTATTTAGGGGAAGATAGGCTCTTGGTGAGCAGGCTGGTGGGGGCTGTATAGAAGCAGAGGTCGTAAGAGCCCTAAGTGGGAACTAGGTGCTGCTGAGTGCCTTGCTCCACACACCGGGGCAACAGCGGGCTGGCTTGGAGTGTGGGCTGCAGGGCAGGGTCTGGGTCTTGCTTGTGATTACGTTCAAGTATGTCTGCCCATCCCTACTTCCTTTACCTGGGGACCAACAGTCACCTGTCCTATGGAAGGAATGACTGCTGGCCAGGAAGGGGCTGGCAGGTAATGGGCATTTGTACCGAGTGCCCCCTGAGATCGTCACCAGTAGTAGATAGTTCCTGTCATCTGTCCAGGGCACAGGAGCTGGAAGGCATAAGCCTGGTGTGGCTGGATCCTTTGAAGAACACAGAGCTGGGCCTTCTCCTGGGTGCCCACAGCAGGCTCAGGGCTTAGGTCCAGCTCTTTTCTGTGGAAGGAACCAGATAGAGTCTTGGGGAGGGCACTGCCTCAAGTCCAGAGACTGCCCTGGATATGCAGGCTGGCCCTGTCACCCCATGCGTGTAACCCCTAAATGTGAGAGCAGATCGGTGCTCCTTGTCCCCTCCTTGTGCCACGCCCCCCCCAAGTTCCTGCCCAGGGCCTCCATAGCAAGCTGATTCTTGGTTATGAGCCCCCTTACTGCAGCTCTGCTTCTGTGTGCCCCTCCCCCATTGTAGGTCCGCTGCAAGTTCCTAGAACTGCTTTTCCTGGTGCCCCCGTGGTGGTGTGGCTGTGTCATGTCTGTCTAAGGTCTGACTTCTTTCTGTGTCTAGGAACACGTGTTTGTGTGTGTGTCTGTCTCTTCATGTCTCTCTCTCTCTCTCTCTCTCTCTCTTTCTCTCTCGCCTGGAGTTAGGGGTTCAGTCCCTTGTGGTAGCCTATTGTTCTTAAGGACAGCCTCTTATCCTCCTGTTACTTTGTTTCTGAGCTGCGCAGGGGGGCAATCAGGTGGCTTCCCAGAGGAGGAGGAGTTGGTGCTTGTCCCATTCCTGGGAAGGCACGGATGGAATGGGGGGACAAGTTGGAGATTCAGCCAAGGGGCCTTCCTTTGAGGACAGCACTGCCTGAGGCCTGGGAGAAGTGCCTTGGAAAGTGTCCCCTCCCCCAGCGGCTTTGCTGGGAACTGGCTTCTAAGCCCCAGGGGGCGGGAGGGGCCCTTGGAACTTCCTCCGGGCTGGAGGGGGGAGCAGGATATTAGCTGGGAAGGAGGGGCACCCCACACTCGGTGTGTCTGCTGAGTGAGGGCTGTTTAGGGGGCATCTGGTGAGGAGCACTGGGTGAGAGGAGCGAGGAGCCGTGGATGTGCAGACATGGCTTGCCAAGTGTGCACAGGGGATGGGAGGGGCAGGATGGAGAGGAGTGTGCATGCGTGCCACGTGTGTGCTGCTGAGCTGAGAGACTGTGAAGAGGAACCAGAGTGGCTGCAAGCCAAACAGGCCAACAGTGTGTGTTTGTGTGTGTGTGTGTGTGTGTGTGTGTGTGAGAGAGAGAGAGAGAGAGAACCAACGGTGGAGGGAATGAGTGAGAGAGCAAGGGAGAGTTCTGGAGGCTTGTTGAGTGTGCACGTGAGCAGCCAGGAACCCAGGGAGTGCTCCCCATGGCAGGAGAGTGCTCAGAGTGGCAGGAGGCAAGGCCACCTGCTATGAGTATTGCACATGGGAACTAGCTGATGACTGGGGCTGTCTGAGTGTGTGCTCGTGTACTCGTGTGTGTGTGTGTGTGTGTGTGTGTGCGCACACATATGTGCATGTGCCTATTATTATTTGATCTCTTTTGTTGTGATAAAGCACTTTGATTAAAATCAGCTTGTGGAGGAAGGAGTTTATTTCTACTTTAAATTTCTGGATCACAGTCCATCATTGAGGGAAATCAGGGCAATCAGGGCAAGAACTCAACCAGGAGCTGAAGCAAAAACCACAAGAACTGCTGCTTGATGGCTCACGCTGGCTCAAGCTCAGCTGGCTTCCTTAGGCTGTCCAGGCACAGCTGCCTAGGGACGGTGCCACCCACAGGGTGCTGGGCCCACCCACATCAGTCATTAGTCAGGGCAGTCTCACAGACATGGCTACAGGCCAGTCTAATAGAAGGAATTCTTCACTAGCGGTTGCTTCTTGTAGGTGACTAGGTTGTGTCAAATTGACAATTAAACCATGGGACAAGGTCCGTGTATGAGCTGCACCCATCCATCCTGGTGCCCTAGAAGCCCTGGGCCCAGGCTCTGCTGTATCTGGGGGATACAGGCTCTAGTCTCTGGCCTCAGCCTCTTTTCTGAGAAGCTGGGACACCTACCTCAGGTAACTGTCAGCACAAAATGAGGGGCTGGCGATATCAGGCCACCCTGTGTCCCCTCCTTGAGCTGTCCACAGGCCAGCGTGGGCAGAGTTACTCTAGGTCTCTGTTGGCTTTGTGGGGTCCGTGTGAGATGCCTTCCTTTGGGTCCATGCTGCTGTCCCTGATTACCTACCCCGCTGTTGGCCTCACTGCATTCCCAGTTGGCACTGTCACCTTGTGTGCTTCTCACCACCTCTGCTGTCCTCCAGAGTGGGACCTTGTTCCTCCCCAGCCAAGATCTGGCTAAAGGCCTTGCTGCTCAGGCTGAATCCCACCAGATGTCCCTGTGTGGGTGGCCATGCCTGCTCTGTCCCAGTGCCGCATTGGACCCCAGCTATCCCTGTGTCTCCTGTGTGTGTTCCTGCCAGTTTCTGCCAGCATGGCAGTCATCTGTCTCAGCAGTCCTGCTGGGACTCCCTAACTGGGGAATACCTCCCTCGGGCCTGAGTGCTGTTCTTCACAACTGGCCCATACTGACCCTATATGCACCCCAGGCACTGCACTGAAGGGGTCACAGGCAGTGAGGGCCTGAAGGGGATGGCCCTATTTCCCAGCTGACCTCCTGGGGTAGGGGCCAGTCCTCCTATCGCTAGAGAGGGAGGGCACCTGCCTTCAAGGCCTGGAGCTGCCTGACCCATCACAGACAGGCTGCAGGTGGCTGGCCGGGGAAGCTTCCGGGAGCCATGCCCGTCCTCCCCATTCCAGCTTCCCACAGGGCCTGTCTCTGGAGTTGCTGCAGATGGCAGGACCCGGTGCCAAGCCCCGGGGCATTACAGCAAACAAAGGCTTAAGGAGGACACAGGACAGAAAGAAGCAACTGCACGGTCTCCTGTGAGTCGCCGGCAGCTGCCCCTTCAAGCCTGGAGTTTAAGGGGCCTGCCAGGGCAGGCTGTGTGGGGAGTGCAGGGCCTGGAGCTGGGTTGCTAGCCCTGGACTGAATCTTGGCAGTGACAGCCAGCAGTCATGGGAGCACGCAGGATGTACAGTCTGAGTCCTTAGATACTCAGTTCCGGTATGGCTGTGAGACTGTCTCTACCGCTGTGAACATTTCAGAGATGTGACATGAAGGCACAGAGAGGGGAGGCTATTGGCTTCCAAATCGCACAGCTGGGCACCTGGGGAGCTTGCTCCAGAGCCTAAACAGGCTACCCCTCACCTTCATTGGCCTCTTACCTTTGGAGTTCTAACATGGTTTGGGGCTGAGATGTTGGTGCACTGGGAGGTGTCTTGGAGAGGACTTCGGGGACCAGCTTGTTTCCTGGGAGGACTGAGGTCAGGATGTCAGACCTGTCCAGAGTCACTGTTGCCAGTGCCGTGTGGGCTGTGGGATGCTATCCACGGTGCTTTGTCTCCTCAGCATCCTTTTGCCACACAGTAAAGAACGAATGAATGTTGAACGGAGGTTGTAGGGGCTGTAGTTGTAGCATTGGGGGAGGCTGAGGCAGGAGGATTGTGAGCGTCTCTAAGTGTGAACCTGCGGGTGCAGGTCACACTACTCGGCTGTATACAGATTCCATCATGTTTGCCGAGGCGGTGCCTGTGAGTTCCAGCTGCTTCTTGTTTTTTTTTATTTTTTTTTATTTTTTTATTTTTGTCAACGCTTGTCATTGTCTTAATTTCAGCCATCTTGGTAGCAGTGGTGGTGGTTCCAGACTTAGTCTGCACTCTAGAAGTGTTGCCCTGTGCCATTGACCGTTGTCCCCTTTGGGACATTAACGTACCTATGCTGTATTTCAGATCCAGGCTCTCTGCTGCCACTGTCTTTGCATGATGACTCGGTTAAGGAATTTTGTTTGTTTTTACTTGGCAGCACCGGAGAATTGAACCTAAGGCCCATGCATGCTGGGTAGGGGTTCTACCACCCAACCACCCCACCGCCCCTGCTCTTTTTTTCTTTTTACATTTTATTTTTAGACAGGGTCTCACTTAGTTGCTCAGGCTGACCTCGAGCCCTGTGTAATTCGCTGGCCTTGAACTTGTGATCTTTCTGCCTCAGCCCTGGTAACAGATCCTTGTGTTACCAGACACTCTGGGTTAGGGAGTTGGAAGTATAGGTGATAAATGGACCTGCCTGACAGGTGCTAATTCATTTGCTTGTTCTTGGGGTCCTGGGGGTGGGGCGTTGCTGGGGCAAGGACATGGTCATGGTCATGCCACGGTCATAGCCATAATGGTCTTTGAAGGTCATCCCTGTCTGGTTGTGGGCTACTTGGAACTGAAAGGGGCGGAGATTGAAAACTCGGCTCTGTCCCTTCATAATGCAAGGGTTATAGGGGTGAGTCTTGGGTTGCCTGAGTCTCAGTCTACCGCTCTGTAGTGTGTTAATGGGGTCACTATAGGAAGTCCTTGTCCACGTGAAAAGCTGTAATATTATTAGTGACAAGACCCCCATTTTCTCTCACAGTGCTCCTGAGTCTTTGAGGACACAGCCTCCTGGTGGAAGTTTCTGGTAGGTTCATCTTTATGTCCACTTGCTGTCCTGGGTGTGTGTGTGTTGGGGGGACCCATACTGCCGCATCTTCTGGTGTAAGCTGCTGCGGAGTGTTGGTGGAGGCAGAGACTGTCTAGTAGGCGAGAGTGGTGCAAGATGGTACTTGGTACCTCAGGGTTGCCTAGGCAGGGCAGGAAGCAGCTGGGCACTGTGATGGTATCCGTCTCCTCCTCCCCTTCCCCCTCCGGCCGCTCTTGGGAGAGTTTGTTCTTTATCCATTGATGGATTAATTGTTATTTCCTTGCTTTTGTGGTTGTGGGCATGGAACCTAGACCTCACACGTGCTAGACAAGCAGTAACCACTGAGCCATGCCGCCAGCTTTCTTCTCTCTCTCTCTCTCTCTCTCTCTCTCTCTCTCTCTCTCTCTCTCTTTCTCTCTCTCTTTCTCTCTCTCTTTCTTTTTAAATATCGAGACAGGGTCTCATTAAGGTGCCCTGGATGCCTTGAACTCACTTCCTAGATTGGGTAGGCTTTGAGCTTGAGATCCTCCTGCTGCTGGAATGACAGGCCTGGCTCCTTGAATTCTTACTTCTTTTCGAAGCACCCACTGTGTGCAGGTCACACGGTGGGTGACTGGGAGAGCATGCTGACAAGCTGAACAAGTGTGCTGTCCCCAGTGAGCACACAGTCAGTGGTCAGCAAGCCTGACATGAGGTGCTGTTGGTTGACAAATGAGCCCAGTCAGGAAGAGTTGGGGTGCATGTGTGAGATGAGGTACCGTTTCTTATGGAGTCTCAGCAACATGACATTTGAGGCTGGAGTGATGGCTCAGTGGTTAAGAACACAAAGAGGACCTGGCTAACTTTGTTTCCTAGGCCCTTGTGGCAGCTCACACCATTTGCTAGCTCTAGTTTCAAGGGAATCTGGCCTCCACACACACCAGCCACACATGCATTACATACGTACGTACGTACATACATACATACATACAGCAGACATACATACAGGCAAATACTCATACACGTAAACTAAAGAAGATGGCGTTGGATTGAGGCCTGAGACGGTTGGTGTCTAGGGGAGGGCATCTAGGCAGAGGGCACACACACCCCTGCAAAGATCCTGGTACATTCTTCACGGGGCTGGCTGGCTGGGACTCCTCTTTGTTTTGAGCCCTTTGCGACACCCTAGTAGTCAGGAGGGGGAGGAATGTGTAAACACTAGTCCCCCCTTCCCTCCCAGCCCTGGCCAGCGGGGCTGTGGGTCCTCTCCTCTCCTCTTTCAGACTGGCGTTGAACTTCTGGTTCTTTTGATTCCGCTGTGCGTGTGCAATTTGATGTGTGTGCCGCTGCACCCTGTTTGTGTGATTATGGAGACCCACAAGCTGTCTGCTAGGCAAGCAGTCCACCAATGGAGACACTTCTTGTAGCCATGGGCTGTGGTTTCATCTGAGGCGGGAAGGGGTGGGCATGAGTCTGTGGGGGTGGGGCTGTCCACGGGGTCCTTGGAGAGTGGAAAGAACTGCTTGGTTGCTGCCCTCCGCACCCCCATCCATCCGCATCTTGTCTAATGGGGAGCCACCTCAGCCTGACTTATCTGCCTGTCACGCCAGTGGCCCACCCGAGGACGATAAAAGGGCTTTTTGTCTGCAAGCACTTAGCTTCCTCCACTGGGGCGATCCATCATGCTTGTGGGAGGAGGGAAGCAGACAGAGGGGGAGGGCGGGGAGCCAGGGACCCAGGCAGCTCCTCAGCCAAGACAAGGCTGTCTGGGAACTGCAGGAACAGATTAGGGATGCCCGAGCCCCATCTTCTCGGGCAGAGGCCTTTTAGAGATCCTTGTGCCTTGGGGAAGTCTGCTGCGGGAGAGGGGACGGGAGAGGGGACGGGAGAGGGGATGGAAGTCTGCGTCATAAGCCTGCCACCTGCACACGCTCTCAGGTCCCTGCTGACCACTCTGTGGGATGACCTTATTTGATCCCCAGAGCACTCCCCAAAGTGCCATGTCACTGTCCCCACATTACAGATGGGGGTTAGAGAGGCTGAGGAGTGCCATGAGGTCCCCATGCCACCCTGCTCTACTCTGCTTAGGGCCTTGGGGTGGTGGGCCCAACCCTGTTGTTCTGACCTTGCAGTGGGAATGGGGGCTCTAGGGTTTTCTAGAGGAGGGCCACTGGAGTTTTAGGCTTGGGTGGGAGGTGGCATTTACCTGAGCCCTGGTCCGTCTGGGAGATGCTGGGAGATGCAGTGAGAGGCTGGTGATGGGGGGAGGCTGGGGGGGAGCAGGGCAGTCAAGAGTACAGTCAGGGTCGGCAGGTGAGTGCCCAGGGCTCAGTGGGCAGATTCTGGGGAGGTGGCCAGCGAGGACCACACTCTGGGTTGTGCTTCCCACCTGGAGAGCAGCTCTGGTTTTGTCCTCAACCGCTGGCTGTAAATATCATGGGGCCCAAAGAGCCCAGGACTCCCCCCTCCCTTCTCTATGGGTCAGTATCCTCCATCCTCTGGCTCCTTCCCAGCTCTGGGTGCTGCTGGCCAGGATCCTGCCTTCCTTCTCTGCCCTCCCTCCCCTCCTTTTCCCTTCTTCCCCCAGGGCCACCCTCAAAAGACAGCAATTAATGGTGCCTGTGATGGTGGAGTGTGACAGCTGAGCTGCCTGCCTGCAGCTGCCCTGCTAATCGGGCCCGGGGGACCCCCCCTCCTGCTAGTTCTATGCACGCCTCTCCTTTGCTCACTGGGGCGCAAGAGCCAGCCAGCAGTAGGCCTGTGGGAGGTGGCAGAACTACCCCAGCCCTGCAGCTTCTCCCTCTGGCTGTCCTCTTCTGTCATCAGGGTGACTCTTGCCTGACCTTGTTGTGCTTCATTGAGCGTGCCTGTGGCAGTGGACACCCCCCAATTGCCCACCTCCCTCCCAGGTCCTAGTCCAGGACTGATGCTGGCCTGAGATGACCCTCAGGGTGAGCCAGGAACCTTTCTCACAGGCTTCTATGCTTCCTGATTCCTGAGAGGAGAGGGTTCCTGTGCAATCAGACATTTGTCCTGCCCTAGACGGACATCATTCAGATCCCCTGGCCTGATCCTGGGGGACCTGGAGGCATCTACTGAGTCCTGCCTGTTGCCTCTGCCAGGGTTAAAAGGATCCCAGCATGTCCTGCCCACACTGTGCTTGGTCCATCTGTCATATTGTGGCAGCAGTAATGAGGCTCCTGCTGTATACCAGGACCTACAGCCTGTGCTTCCATCTTGTTTATTTTAGGGCTGAAAAATACCTTGGTATTTGTGTGTGTGTGTGTGTGCGCGCGCGCGTGCGCGTGCATGTGCTCATGCTTGTGTCCAGTCAGAGGGCAGCTTGTGGGAGTCGGTTCTCTTTTTCCCAGGAATCGATATCAGGTGGTTAGGCTTTGCCAGAAGCTCCTTTGCTCTCTGATCCATTTTCTGGTGTTTTGTTTTATTGAGACAGGATTTCTCTGTGTGATAGCCCTGGCTGTCGTGGAACAGTAGACCAGGCTGGTCTTGAGCTCTCAGAAGATCCACCTGTCTCTGCCTCCCGAGTGCTGGGATTAAAGACTTGCACCACCAGGCCAGTCCTGTTTGCTGGTTTTTATAACCTTGCTTTTTTTTTTTTTTTTTTTTTTTGGTAGATGGAGAAACCGAGGGAAAGGAAGTAAAGTGGTTTGATGTTAAATGACTTAGTAAGAAAGGCACAAACGTGACTTTGAGTCAGACCTGTCCTGCCTGGTACTCTATGCCAGGAGAATCCAGAGCCCTCATGTGGAAATTGAGAAATGAAGTGGGGATTGCCATGTGCAAACTGTGTGTGTGTGTACACACTTGTAAATATACAGTCTTGCACAGAGTGTGCCTAGCTTCGTTCTTCGCACATGGCCAGACCGAGTTTGCTCCTGTTTCTCACACTGCTGGCTTCTTCCTGCCGAGGATGGTTCCATCTTGCAGTGTCCGGCAGCTTGCTGTTCTGGCCCTCCCTAGCTGTGGTTCGAAGAGAGCTCCCCAGACCATTCCTGCTTGAGTCTCTGTGAATGTGCATGGCTCTGTTTCTCCTGCATACACTTCTTAGAGTGGGTTGCTAGGTGCGTGCTAAGTGTGGAGAAGCCACTGGGCTGTTGGACGAGATGCTGTCTCACTTTGTGTTCCCACCAGCAGGGTGTGGGGACTGCTGTTTGCCTTGCTTCCTTGTCTGCACTTGAGATTGTCGGTCTGCTCCATTGGCTGCCAGAGCGAATACTGTCTCATTTTTCGATTGCATTTCAACATTGGCTGCATTTTGATTCTGTGTCTGGCCAGCCGGTGGATGGCGGAAAGCTTGGATGAGTAAGACGGTCACACACCTGCCAGTACTGGCTTCTTCGTTGTCTCTTTGTAATAGCAGGCAATGACTGAACTTTTTCTTGTCTTGCTATGTGGACCAGGACCATGGTGTGTTGTTGAATAAGTGGCTTTCAGGGTTACCAAGTGGTGGCTGTTCTGAACATTTCCAGTTAGCAGAGGAGGAAACTGAGGCACATAGAGGTCCAGTGATCTCTCCCACAGGAGGACAATTGGCAGTCAGAACTACAGCTTGCACACTTTCTCCCCCTATGTCAGGAAGTTGTGACTCCGAGTGTTACATAGATGCGTTTGCTGAGCTGGAGGGTCGTGCCAAGAATTGATGGCCAGGCAGGGCCAGAACTCAGCTTTCCCTCCGGGGTTTCCTTTGCTTCAGAGCCAAGGGTGTGGAGGAGAGCCCAGGCCTCCGGGTTAAGCCCTGTCCTTTGGCACCCGGTACTGTGAGGTGGATGTCAAGCTGTGGTCTGCCAAGGGTCTGCTCTCAACTAGCTGCTATCTGAGCAGAATCACACAGAGTTCTGGGGAGCTGTTGGGGGGCAAGGCAGGACTCAGAAACCCAGGAAAGGGGGTGGCAGCAGAGGACGCCTCCAGCTCTTTACAACACCCCCCTTCCTCGCCTGAGGGGGTGTCAGCTAAGACGACTCTTCAGGGGAAGAAGGCCCGTAAATCAAATAAGCAAT